GCAGTTCCAAAGACCATTAAAAAAGCATAAAAATAAAAATTATATTAACACCCTTAATTGTTAGAGGTTTTTTGAATTCCACCTATCCAGGAAATTCCAGATTAGTAGTGTTTCAAATCTGTCCTCATAGAGTCTGGCTTATACCTCTGTACTATGCTCCAAGAAAGTTCAATATTGTGAACTGATTAGATATTACCGATATTTGACCTTGTAAACATGTGTATTTACAAAATTGCCATGGCAACCTTCGGTAAGTCTCAGTGTCAAGATGGCAACAAAGTTTTAAAATGCCGTGAATGAAGATGTCAGGCCACAAAAAGACGCTTCAGAAAACCTGAACACACGAAAGAGCACATCAAGAAGGATTCTAACAGGTATTTTGTCGAAAAATTCTAAAAATTCAGAATTTAAGCCGAATTTTAGGTTTAAAATTTGAGAGAGTGGGAAGCAACTACAGAATACAGGGCCATATTTTAAGGTCTTAAACAGAAGTGGCTCGGTGGCTCGAGTTCTCGATTGGATAAACATGTCAAAAATTCACGATTGCTAACGTATTTCGTCACCCATGGTATTAATAGGTAATCAAAAGGTATACTCGTGAAATAAGGGAATAATTTCACTTACGTTTTGTCCAAATCCTAATAATTTACCTCGCCTTCAAAACGTTTGCCATCAAAGTCATACACGACCTTTTAGGAAGTGGCAGGGATTAACACTGGAACTTCTTGTAGTACTGAATATTTAATATTAAAAAAGTACCTTAATTTGTTTGTGATCTCACAACACGAATAACCAAACATCCTTTTTTGCCTACATCCTAACCACTATTCTAAATGATAGAGATACAAAGTACATCTTGAACCATTTCTAATAATAATTATAGAGTCGATGTACTAGTCAAAATTGCCAATCAAAAATTAGGGTAAGCGTGTTTTTACCAAGTGCATATAAATTAAAATGGTGAAGGATTTGTTAGCTCGGTTCATGGTTTGCTTGCATCAAATTGCATCAAAAACCTAACGTCTTTTGGTGTCTATAACCTAACCACTAAATTTTGACATAACAAAGATTCAAAATACATGTTTCACAAGGTTTTACAAAGTTACTGTGTAAGTCAATTAAAAGACCATACTGGCGTTTAGACAAAAAATAACAACAAAATTGGCATTTTCATATTGTATCGTTAAGCCACTCAAAAAATTTCTCTAATTCTGTCAAGTAGCTTTATTTCCCTGGCTGCTTTGTACATCTAGCTACATTGTAGCACTGACCAAATTTGGAAGGTCTCCAAGCATTTTTGATCAGCAAATTGTCAGCGATACAACATCATCCTTTTACTTCATGGATCATTGACATCACGCAATAACAGATTTAACAGCTCTGTGGAACAGAGACGAGGCATAAGATTTGATTTGATGAGAACGACCAGTTTATTGTGGCCTGTTATATCTTTCCTTTAGAGTCACAAAAATATGTAACTCTCTGATAGATGTTCCAGTTCGAAATAAACCGTCATATCCTGTACACACATGACAAACCTTTTAGGGTGCAAACGCTTTTTTTTGTTGTTTTGAGTAGAGCATACCTATAGGTTTACTTCTTAATATCATACTCAACTTTGATCCAATAATTGTTACATTTTTCAATGCTTCACTCCCAAGAAAATTACACCAGTATGGCATTTGAGTGATATGTTAAGTTTGTGCCTCTCATCTCGTTGCAGGCAAGTTATCCTCGCAACAAGCAGTTTTGATTCGAAGGCCAATTTTATGCATAACTTGCGTGAACAGTTTTCGTCAGGCTCATTTAGTCTCAGTGGATCCTCAACAAATAGAGATGTGGCTGAGTGGTACAAATTTTAAAGGGGGACTATTACCGTAAAATAAGCCCCGGGACATTTTTCAAAGGCCCTTTTTGAGGGGCTTATACGGAGAGAAGTTTGCGTTTCAAAATCGGCTAGGCTTATACTTGGAGGGAAATTTGCGTCTCAAAATCGATTGGGCTAGCTTATAGTTGCAAGGAAATTTATGTCAGTAATTTGCCGATAGTCTTTACTGAAACTTGCCTTGAGGCCGTAGACCTTTCTAAAACGTAGCCATGCAAGTACTTTGTCTATATGGACCAAGGAAACCAAGGCCAAGAGTGAAGAGGAAGCATGCAAACAGCAATTAACTGTGACACTTTCTGACTACAAAAACCTGGCAGACACATAATAGTTCTTTGGCAAATACAAAAATTTATATGTTACAGTACCGTTTTTGCTTTGTTTTATTTTGTATTTGAGGGCACTTTCCAATTTCAAGCCCCCGGGGACTTATATTCGGAAGGGCGATTTAATGGAGGGTTTTGTGCGTTACGAGTTTGAGGGGCTTATACATGGAGGGGCTTATTTTCGGCATTTTACGGTATATTGGGGAACCACGGAGATGCAAACTAATATCGCACTTGAAACACCAGGAGCACAACCACTGGTACATTTCAGAAAAGGTAAAAGAGACATTAAAAAAAGATTTTATAGGTATAAAAGAAATAGAAGGCAAATTAAAGATTACGATCGCCAACTACTCCGGTCATTACGCGCCTGTAAACTGGCAGCAGTTTTAGCGCTCAAAATGGCGGCCAAGAGGGCCCGCATGGTGGTTGATTACAACCAACTAAACAGTTTCTCTAGTGTTGTCCTTAATGATATCGCCTACACCAGCACAAGGAAGACGTACAAGAACAAATTCAATGTCAAACGCATAATTTATAGACTAAAGACCAGAAATGTGAGTATCGAAGTGAATACTTGGTGTCATTTGCATGTTGAAGCATGTTACAAATCTGTTTTTATCTCTTCCCTCCAAAGGATTTTGAGTATCTTATTAGAGATTTTTCACATAACTCCAACACCTTATGCTAATGAGCCACAATTGTAGAAAGATCCACAAAATATGTAAATGATCTTTTCGACCCACAGGCAAGCTTTTTGTTTTCTTTGTCTGGTAATCACTAAGCGGCCTCGCAGCATTTATGGGGGAGTGCAGCCAGCAAGTCAAAAATCGTAGAAGAAGTTAAAATAGAACCTGGGCGGGGCTTCAAAGGATATAGACGGAAAATGCACTTCTGTGAAAATGCTTTAAGATGCCGACATTTTCCAATTTTCCCCTGGCATTTTTTTGAAAACTCAACGGGATCTCACATACGTAGATATCATTTTTAAGACTGAAGGATTGAAAGAATTCAATTTTTGGAAAGATTTTTATTTTGCTTTATCTGGAAATTACTTGTTACAGACACATACAACTGACGTGTGTTTCCATATATAAATATCGTTCATCATACATCATCAAACACTGACCGGCTGGAAATTTTTCGAATCTATGAAGAACGAAAGCATCAGGGTATACTATCGTTCTACCCCAAGAGAATCATCGATAAAAAGAATTACACAAATTGTTTCCCAAAACCTCTAAACAGCTGACTGCCATGACAAGTACAAGCAAGACGGCGATGTCACAGACTATTGTGGATAACAGGTTGCGGTACGCAAAGAAGTCACCAGAAGAGCAAAAATCCGCGAAATTTAGCCAGGTAGTATGTCTCAACGAAGATACATGTAGTTCAGGCACCGATGCCAATGCTGATCTCCCAGGGGGAGCCAACCCCGCACCGCTTAAGCCAAAACAGGACAGACCTAAGAAAAAGTGCTCCAGGAAACGACAGCGGACTTCGAAGGAGGCCCACATGGCTCTCATGGAAATGTGGCCAGGCTGTGAAAATGTTTATTAAGATAGGACGCATCCTAGATAAATAGCGGCGAGGACTAAACATGCGAAATATTGAACTGCCAATTTCCTTTTGTTCATTTTTTTCAGTTGATAGTATTTGTAAGCGAAAACACTGAAGATAAAATGCTTTTTGTCAAACAATTCGTCTTTTATTTGATGGTTCTATTCATGCCTGCCGCAAATAAAGGAAAAGTTGCCCATGGGAAAACACCCTGCATCAGTTTTGCATATTTAGTGGACTTTTGCACTATAGTGGCTCTAGTTGGAGTTATGTGAAAGATCTCTATTAAGTGGGAGGGTTGCGCTCTCGACCAATGTACCTGGGAACCCACGGAGCATCTAACACCAGAGTTGTAAAGGTAAATATTTACTTTCTGTTAGGAAATCTTGGGTTACAAAATAAGGCTACAAATTGAATTACATTGAAGATCTTGCTCTTCTTAATCTTCCTGAGCACTGGTGGAATTATTCAAACAATCACGGTCAAGGCCAAGCAGTGAACCCTGCGCAGAAAATCAAACCCATACGTAGCTGGACACCTGCAACTCAGGTGTTTAAAGATGGCAAGTTGATAGTACGACAAAGAATGCCTCTTGAAAAATTGTGTAGACATTCTAAGAAGCCCTTGTGATACTGCCAACCTGTTTCAGTAAATATTCCATTCTTGTACCCAGAGTCAACGGTCTCCTCAGTCAGCGGTTGTCATTCCCAGGTAAGACTCTGTTCGTGTAATCATGAACAGCCAATCAAGACGTTTGATATTTATTCCATTCCCCAGGCGTCTAACCTGGCAACGAGGCCATTGACTCTGGGTACGAGATTGTAAATATTGTTGCATTGCCTTGATACTTGTCCATAATTTTGTTTCAAGGCTGTTTTGTCATGATGCATGAATAAACAGACCACAATAAATATTACAGAATCTCTCTTTTATCTCAGCTTGTTAATTACGTGAATCAGCTTCCGCCCTCTGGAGCTGCTTCCACTGCATCAATGTACATTTGTTGTAGCATTTTTATGTTCGTAGCTTGAGTTGTTACCCCCATTCCTTTAAGCCTGTCTCTAATTTCAGCAAGGGTTACGGTCTCAATAGCTATGTGATTATTTACAGTTGTATGAATGCCACAATAATTCTAGTATAAGTATGAAGGGTTACGCGTTTCCAGTTTAAACTTGCATCATGAAAAACCATTCTTCGAAGTGATAATCAAAATTATTTACACATTTGGGTCAATTTGTAGATGCCTCTAGTAATGCATTAGTATACATCTCTTGCAGTTTTCTTATGTCTCTTACTCGAGTCACTATTCCCATTTCCTTTAGCTTGTTTTTTAAATCAGCAGGTGACATATTTTCCATATCTATCTGTGTTTGAGGTGATGCATTTAGGCTTCCAAATCTCTCTGCCTGTACAGCAGAGACTTCTTTAATTACATCCTCCCAGTAGTCAGCGTTGCGTTTCGTGTAAGGCCTGGGAGTTCGTTGAAAGCTATCTAGATGCTCCTGTCTTTTAAGGACAAGTAGGACGTCCTTCAAAGCATCCCTCTTATTTGACTTCTGTATGTGTATCCGCCGACAGTTATCATTTTTCTTCTCCACACCTGGAATCACACATAATATTTACATTAACCCATTTGCCCCTGAACCGCACATAACCGCCCGTGCGGATCTAGGTCCTTTCTACCCTTTGTGACGTTATCAGTTTAACAGTCAAGGACAACTTTCTTCGCTAACTTGTGCAGAGTGAAGAGATCTTTCAAACCATACCAGAATGAGCACAATTCAGTCGAGGACACCGGAGAAAGAAGCAAAAAACCACGTGACATTGACCTGAAAATCTCTATGAAAATCTTGTTCTATTGCTCACCTACCTTCCGTTTCACCTAATCCTAAGATCCTAAAAGCTTTCCTAAAAGCTCTTCCCACCAAAATGAAGCCACTAAATGTCCAGCAAGAGAAAAAAAAATGAAGCAAGAAAAGCGAAAAAAGAAGAAAGGAGAGAAAGCGAAAAGTAAAAGTCAAGACTGCTGTGTCACTTATAAACGCAAGAACTATCTCAAAATTTTGCTTTCTGCGCATACCCGAACTTCGCAAGCTGATATTTTGCATCTGGATCAGAAGGCCGCAAAGTGTACGACCTGTAAACGGGTTTGTGGTAAGTTTTAGCTCTTTATAGCACGACAGTGACAAGAAAACCACTCGACTAGCTTCAAAAGGTGTTTTTCGGTAATATCTCCAGGAGCGAATGAGTTAGAAGATCTTAATTTATTGATCAATACGAAAAAAACAAAAAAAAGTCAATATTTGTTACCATATATGTACACAAACACACACACACACTCATGCACACACACAAATAAATAAACGGTTTTTAGTTCTTAGTTCATAGTTTTTAAAGTTTAGTTCTTAGTTCTTAGTTTTTAAAGTTTTTAATCTGAAGAAGGCCAAACAGCCAAAAAGTAGTTAAATTTCGTCAGTTCAGTTAGAAGTTTGCCCCATCATCCTTACTCGATATTTGTCTACAAATTCACGTGGTGGCACAGCATCCTTCGGATCCTTCTACTGGGAGTTTGTGTAATATATATATATATAGAGAGAGAGAGAGAGGATATTACACGGTGGCGCGAAGATATAAAATTCATTTTCGAGTGGCAAAACAATATTTTACTCACTCGCTGTGCTCGTTTGTAAAATATTGTTTTTGCCACGAGAAAATAAAATTCATATCCGTGTAATGGTCTTTTTATTATATAGACAAAAAGACATCGATAAAATAATAGATTTTTATTCGCCAAAAAGTCATTGTGACGGCTCAAACTTACAGTACTTAAGCAATATAAGACATCTTTTACAATAATCTAGAGAAATAACACTGAGCTGAATAGGGCTCTACAATGACAAAATATAAGCAAAGCTTTGAAAAATGTGTAAGTAGAATTCAAAAAATGATAAGTAATAAAAAGCTTTGAATTATAGTTAAATCATAACAGTAATAATTTACCGAATCTTAGTTGTGAAAAAAAGCATGAAAAAAGGCCAAAGAACTGTTTATTGGCTTTCATCACTACTACCAATAACAATTCTCCGTCTTTTAAACTGATGTGTTTTCTCAAAATTGCTGCCTTTTGGATTCTGCGAATTTGTGAAAATGTTCCCTGTTCCTACCTGGCACTGGTAAAGAAAGGGCAAAGTTCCTGCACTTGTGCTGGGTTGAACTGGAGATACTGATGTAATTTCATCTACTGTTACTTTTGGCGAAGACGAAGTAGCAACAGAAGTAGAAGATTCCCCTCTCCTGGATAATACTGTAGAGATGTGCTACTGTCTTCTGTCAGATATAGCGCAGTAGTTATTCAGTGAATTGACGTTTTTGTGTCCAGTTATTTGCACAATTTCGTTTGGTGGAATATTATTATCCACAAGTTTCTGGACTAGATGCTTCCTTGTGCTGTGGTTGACCAATTTCTTGTCTGAATGAACTTGGGACGCCGCTAACATGTTTTTCACCATAGATCTAAGTGAATTTACTCTCAGTGGAGCTGCTTTGAACCATTTCTCCCCTGCCTTCGGAACTGCTGTGTTGACAGCAAGATAAAATGGAGAGTCGTCTGCCATCATCTCTGGTTGTCTATGTTACTTATACGCCAAATAGGCTGTGACAGGACAGCGATCATTATTGTCAAGGTTTTCAAACATCTTTGGCTTGCTTTCTCTTACATTTCTTGTGTTTTCACCAGTTCTCATTTTTGTTTGGCGCTCGGTGGAAAACTTCACGTAACGAAGCCCGTCAGCATTAGTTTTCAGCCCCAAATCTCGCCAGCAGAGATCTCGTTGCTCTTGTCTAGGCCTCATGCCGAAATAGATACAATTGTTCATCCAAACTGTATTCAGAAGTGCTCGTGGTGTTTTATTTCCGAGCACTCCTGCGCGGTAGAATTCCTCTATTTCTTCATCTGTTAGTGCATCGGCACTATTGGGCTTGTTTCCCTTTCCTATGACCTGGAGTTGTTTCTACTTCTTTTTCAGGATATCTTGAACCTCACAGAATTCTTTGTCGTTCAAAAGGGAAAATGTGCATCCTTTTTTACAGAGGTAGCGGTCAACACTGTCAAAAACCCTCTTAGAGAAGATGGTTCATATTCCTCGCCATTTTTCTTTCTTACTCCGAGTACAAACTTCTTTGCCAACTGTTGGAGCTCGGCGGCAGGAATATTTTCTATGTTTCTCTCTTCTTCCTCGCTGTTAAGAAACTCGTTAAATAATTTTAGATCAGACACAGTTTTCTTCTTCATATTGGCATTTCCTTGGTCTTCGGTAAACTACGCAATTTCCTCCTCAGTAAACTTGACGAATCTTCTGCTCGCCATTTTCATTCAGGGGAATGTTTAGCAGCGTTTCCAAGACACCTACAAGTTTCAGACGGAAATTACCGAAATTACGTCATCCATAAACTCACGTGTGAGATTATGGAAAATAAACCGCACAGGTCCCGGATGTAGTTTTTATGAATTTTACGAGTGGTATATTTTCCAGTAAAACACTCTGTCTATATAATAAATAAATAAATAAATATATATATATATATATATATATATATATATTTAGAGTTTCACTTGTGTTCATTTATTTCTTTCTTTCACTGGTTTCAGTTCATTTGTGTTATGTATATATATATATATATATTTCCTGTTTAACTGGTAGTAATTGCCTTGCCCAGAAAATTTCCTTACTCCTCTGTGAAGAGTCATCATCCTTGATACGTGGTACACCATACTGTGCATGTATGGTGTTACCTTTCCTTAGTGTACCTTTGGCATGAAGAGCCAAGAGAAGTGAATGTCTTAACACACTCTTTTGCCTGCAGCAGTTTAACATGGAAATATAGTTTCACACAGGAATTTTATAAAAAACATTTTGTGCACCTATACATGTTAAAAGCACCAATCTAGTTGCTGTAGATATCCATTTGACGTGCTGCTGTGCTATTATTCACCCATACCTTGATGAAATATTCTGTTATTTGCTGTTCTGAAGGGTTATCAGTGTTAATCAGTTTGTACTTTCATCAAATGACTGCAAAAGAGAAACAAACAAAAAATCTCTTTGCTCCCAAATTGTCTGTAGTTAATATCCTCTGTGTAAGAACCTGTGACACTCAGAAATTATATAAAACAACAAGAATAATAAGTCAGCATAATAGGGCCTAGGTTAATAATGGCTACAGGCAAAACAAAAACAAGATCACAGCCCCAGTAAAAATATTTTGTGATCACGGTGTGATCACAAATCACGCCCGTGATCACGGGTGTGATCACTCCTTTCACCATGATCACGGCTATGAGAAGGCGTGATGAGAGTGATCACACCTGTGATCACGCCTAAGACGCTATTACCAAAAATGTTATGTCTTAGAATTGTCCACATCGGTAAGGAGGACAAAACTGCTATGAGAACCAAAACCTTCAGAAAAAGCAACAAAATTGTACGAATTAAGCATTAACTTTCATCTTCGCAGACGATTTCAATTTATACTGTCTACTGATCGACCCAAGCCGCTAATACGCACGACGACTTAATTTTTTTACTGAACTCATTCCTGCAATTTCCGATACAGTGTTTTGCACATACATTTTAATCAGTGAACGTAACTAAAGACATCAGCCAGTCTAAACCAAACTACCCGGAGATAATGAATGATTTTCTGGTGGAGTACGCTTGTTACTGCAGAACTTAAGTTTATCAGGCTTGAAAAAAACTACTAAATTATAGTAAATAATACGGTTGAATTGTTTTTAACTCATTTTCATTCTGCACCTTAAAAAATAACTTGATACATTTATTTTAGTTATTTGATTATTTCATGATCAATCGATCCCAACAAACATTTACATTCCATCACATTCTACATTTGCTCCACAGATATTACGAGAGTTCTTCCAAAGCGCGGCTTAATGTAAACATGATGCTGAACAAAGCACTTGTTGTGATATTTTTCTAAGACGTCACGTACACTATTTTTATCTTGCTCGTTGACAATCAAAGATTGTACATTTTCATCACAGTCACGCGCATTAAAGGATAATTGTTTAGAGCTTTCCTCTAATGCATTGCATATACAAATTCCTCCTTCATTTAGCCGTGTTTATTGGTATATTCAACTACAGTCGAATTCTTCTTGTGGGTTTTTGCACTCAGGGAATAAAATTTCTGACCGTCATTGCTTTCAAATCTACGATAAGGTTCAATTTCATAGTCTACTGGCAAGTTATTTGTCATGACTGTAAGTCTCACCAAAGTCCGTATGTTGTCATCCACTAGACTTCTTGCATCTTCGCCGCATAAGAAGCCCCCGTTTACTCTGGCAAAAGTTCTACTACTTGCTGCATAGCCAGACAGACTTTGCAACAAACGCTTGCTGTTTCTAGAAATATCACTTTTTTGAAGCACAGTTTTGGTGTAATTAGCCAAGCCAAAACATAGTCCAATCGCACAGCCGATTTGCTCCATAGGATGATGAGTTCCATGTACAAGAGGTTTAATAAAGGCGTTCATACTTTCAAAAGCAAAGCAGCTATAAGCCCACAGAGGTCCTCTTCGTGACACGTAATAAGCAAGGTGTTGCAAAAGGTGGATGTTCATTGTACATTGCATTGGCCCATATAATATTCCCATTAAAAGAACAAAATCCTGAAGCATACTGTCAGCATGTCTCAGATCTTCGTGGGATATTGAGTCGGAACACAAAATTCCTATTGCACCTACAAGCAAAGACCAGTGAAAAGCATGCAGTGCATTTAATTTGTTTCTTAAAACTGCCACTGAATAGTGCAATAGCCAGTTCTTCAGTACTGTCGCCTTCCAGTGTTTCAGATCTTCTACTGATCTGGGCAATCTTCCAACAATGTCTGGCGGCTTAATCGATAGAAGTTGGCGTGAGATGGATGCTTTCTTTGCTCCTAGATAAAAAGGTTTGTCTCTGTTTCCATCTGACATTTGTAGCCGCATAATATACTTAACAACTCCGAGACAAACACAATGCATCCAATCAATTGCAAACGATCGAATCAGATCAAATGGATACAACAGTTTTGCGAAGATGGAGTGTCCTTTCACTCCCATCACTGCTTTCCTGAGTGGCCTTTGACGCGTATGTCAACTGATCTTCGTGAGTCCTTTTCTCAAGGTTTTGTTGAAAAGGCCAGCATCTGTGGATGTTGTTGGGTCCATAACCTTTCCTGTGGCTGTTGACGACCCAAACAAACAAATGAGAAACGAAACTTCGAGGGGTGTGTCGCAGCAGGTTAGATTAGGGACTATTTTACGGATCGGCAAAACAAGAAAACCACGAAAAACAGTGATTTAATTCCAAATTCCGAAGACCAAAATCTATAGACCAAAGATTGACCATAAACTGAAAATAACAATACAAAAATCTCTATCAATTTGGCGAAAGGGCGATACTAAGACAAATAACGCGTAATCAACAAACTAAAGCTTGAAAACGGTAATAAAGCGATTCTATAACGATTAGGTCGATAACAAGATGGTAAAATCTACTTAAAGGCTACATAAACTGAAATTAGACAATAATTCCATAAATCTGATCTCAATCCTTGTACTATAAAGCAAAAGTGTGGGCGTTGCTCAAACAGGAGTTCAAATCCGCTTTTCGCTCATGAAACAATTATAAATCAATTAAGCTTAAATCTGTATACTTGTACAGTAACATTCGTGTACTTTTGCCCACAGACTAAAGAACGAAACTAAACAAAGAAATAACAAAAGAAATCACTTACATATCCGTCCCGCTTGTACCAAAGGTTAAAACAAACCACAAAAATGATGTTACGACGCGAATCCTACTTGACTTTTCCTGACCGAAAGGACGCTAACGCGCGCTTTTATACCCGCGTGGGGACGCCGAAATATCTCATTACAAAACCAATAGCAAATCAGGTAAACATTGTAACTATGCTAGTAACTAGGATCAAAGCATAAAATCACGAAATCAATGAAACGTATTGTTCTTATGTCTTGTCCGTTACATTTTCCCTCTGACTTGCAAAGGTGGCAAGCACATTTGCCGGTGAAGCGTTTCATGTTCATCAAGTCTGCCCGGGCAGGCAAATCGGTTGTCGCCACGAAAAGCATGCATCGAACATTTATATTTCCATGTGCACTGTCTGGTACATGAATTCCGCGATCATTTAAGGAATTGAGCTTCTCGATGAGCGGATTCAAAAAGTTAGCATATTTGGGTCCTGTTTGTCACAATAAATGTACGCAGGAATGAGAAACTTTCTTTTGAATCGGTGTTCCTTTGGAAGCTCATTGATCATGATGTAAACAGGCCACAAATGACCAGCACGGGAAGAGGAATATTTGTTGACTCCATCAGTATTAATGGTGAAAGAAATGTTATGTAACTGCGAAAGAAAACCTCCTGGGTGTAAGAAGGTTTTGTAATCCATTCCATGGAAGATATCATGAATACCTGAACTGTTTACTGCACGCTTTATTTGTTCCTTGCCTTGTTTTAGTAACGTCAAAAATTCCGAATCCCGGAAAAGATCTTTTTTCGTCTCTTCGAAATGCAAATCTCAAAAACTTGACAGAGCCGCTCCTTTGCAACTGTCAATTGGGCATCGATCTTTGACTTGCTGTAAACAATTTGAACAGTAATTAATCTTTGTTGGTTCCTTGGATCGAAAATATTCCTTCATGAACAGTTTCATTCTATAAACTGACTGAAACGTTCTTCGACACCACTCTCCGAGAAGAGCTGTTAGCAATCGAAGTAGATCTGCCCAGGCTGCTTTACTCAAGTTATGCTTAAGAACAAAACTAACAATTAAGACAAACGACAGGATTTTCGATATTTTGCTACCTTGATACAGCGGTTCCTCTTGTGGTTGCGAGGTTTCATTTTCCTGTGTATTTCCTTTTCCGCTTATCCTTTGTTCTTCTATAATAGTACTGGAGCTGTTTGGATATTTTTTGGGATGCTTGAACTTTGTGTTGAGCGGAAAGAAGCTGCAGTTCTTCCTCGCCACTAGAACTCTATGAACTTTCATAATCCACCATACTTGAGAACCGCAAATCATCCTGTTTTAACTGGTGTCGTAAAAATGCAACCTTCCGTGAAACCGTATACTTGTCTGTCATCACTTATCATTTAACAATCACAAAAAGGGTGCTTTTACTGAGCTATTCACGTGATCTTCAAAATACATACCACTTTAAAAAATAGGATTTAGAACTAAAGAGCAACTGGAAAACACGAGGATTTACTATTTTGATGTAATATCTGCTTAAAATGTATCCCAGTTTTTTCTTTGATTTAATTTGTCAATTTTCTATACATGATTAAAAGCACGAGCGAAATGCAATTAATTTGCGTGAATCGCACATAAATGAGTAAGTTGCGTGTGACATTAAAAGTATTGACGCTCTTGAGAGCATTCACGCTTGCCCACAAATGGTGACTACAAAGTAACGTAATCCACAGCTCAGGAGATGACTTCAGTAACAAACTTATTAGAGAAGGCACTTGGGTACTTTTACGAACATCAAATGATGTTTCTCTTACGGAACACACAGAGGAAGAATTCAAGGTAGGTATCAAATTTACAAGTATTTGGTTGTTAATCTCTGAATATCTGTTAATTGAGTTCCAGATAAACGTCAGTTGTGTTAAACATCTTTAAAAAGTCATGGAATCAAATTATCACAAACAATCCCAGTATTTTAAGGCAACCATTACAAATTGCTGAAATGTACCTTTACATGTTGATCTTTTACATGTACATGCACAAGCATTTAACAACCACTGTTGAGCCATTTATATCAATAAAATGTTGCTTTGTTTGTGGAACTGTCATCCGTAATGCAGTCGTAATAAATACCTTCACTTTATGTATCCTATTACCTATATTCCAATGAGAGGTCAACCGAATCATAAGCGGGAGATTTGTAATCTTTTTTGGTCAACCCTTCGATATTGTCTTGTGCTTAGTGAAAGCTCGATGGCTACTCAGTTTTACGTAGTAGAATTTCCGTCAGAAGATGAGAAATATAGAGGGCCATATCTTGTGCCAGCAAACAAAGTTAAAAAGGAAAACGGAACCACTCAAGTTCTGTGGAGGGTTGTAGATGAACTTATGGGTAACATTATGGAGGTATACTATGAAGCTACATGCGTCAAGCAAGGTAGGAAGAAGGAATGTAGTGATTTCCTTGACCTTCTAAAGAAAAACAGACAGCAGGCGGAAATTAGCAACAAAGGGGGAGTAAGGAGCTGCAAGAAACCAGCAAAACTCGACTATTATGAGTTTGAAGGTCTCGCCGAGTGCTCAACCTCTGGAAAACCACCGACCAAGAAGGCAAAGAAAGCAACAACGGAAACCCCATTCAACACTTCTTTTAACGAAAGCGATGAGGACTTGGAACCTTTTGATCCTGAAACGGAAAGGAAAGCAGTTATGAAGAAGTGGACCAAAGAGGCGCTCTCAAAAAGCGAGAACCCAAAGACAAAAGGTTCTTCCCGCCAAAACTCAAAAACTAAGAAGCCACCAAGGGAGGATTCTCGAAAGCAACAAAGATCACAGGAAGAGAAGATCAACTCATCACAAAAAAAAAGCGAGATGTGAAACTGCCGAGACCCAGTCGAACGACATTGAAAAATTGATGCAGAAAGGGATGAAGCTGCTCCTACACTGGGACAACAGTGATGAACCGGCAGATATATCAATTTCTGTATCGCCAGAAACGACATTCGAGGGATTGAAACGCAAAATTTCTCAGACCACCAGAATATCGCCCAGCAATCAGCTCCTGATTTTGAAGGGGAAAGAGTGGTCGATGGAGGAGCAGGAAAAGATTTGCCAGTGCTGGACGACTGATGACTTGGTGGCCATCTTTGAAAGGAAAGATTTTTCAAGCAGTGAGTCTGTGGAACCTTCGAAATTTGAGTGTATAAAGTAGAAAATAATTACTCATTTTTTTGGTCATTGATCCTTGTAAAAAATGGTTTGCAATTACAGGCAATTCAGGGAGTGAGTGCTAATATGATAAAATTTGGACAGTATGTGAATAATCAAAGATAAGAATTTTGAACATAAAGAACAAAGGAATCATTTGCCTTAAGTTGCAGATACAACTCCTGATCGAGTTCAGCGCTAGCTCAACAGACATTTCAGACAGTTCAGTTAACCTGGCTGATGATGTCGATCAAGTAGGCTCTGGAGACAATGATATTGACCTATATTCACCTAAAACACAAGGTAAGTGTCTAGCATTGACTACTGGTTTTTATTGTATTACTTTTTTTTGTAGGGTTTTTATGTTTGTTTCTTCGGTTATTTGTTTGTTTGAAAGACGTTTTGAACCGGCAAGCTCTTAAATTGCGCTAAAATAAGGATATCTGCAAATGCTGTCACTTTTGCTATAAAGTAAGTGAGCAAATATCAGGTTGTTAATCTTGACATAAATTCGCTGTTTTTTCCTGTAACTTCCAACTCCCGCTTTTTGTAAATAGGTATATTATTCAAACACTTTTTCTTCTTTCTTTTGGAAAATACAAGCAACGATTTGTTATCGTAGGTGTTTAAATTAATTGAAGGCCAACTCTTCATGAAAAAATTCTAAAAAACCCTTTTCAAGATGTTGTAAAGCAAACGCATTTCTCGTTTTAAAAGATGAATCCAAGCTTAATCGGCAAAACGAAATAAGTCAAGTAAATTTTAAGTGTAAATTATCACCATTTCTTGTTGTCAAGAGCCAGGTTTAGACATTTTGTTACGCAGATACATAAACCAGTGAACCTTCGTTCACACATTTGCTGGCAACAAGTCACGGACTTAACACGTAAACAGTTGACGTGGTTTTCAGAAAAGCTAAGCTTAGCTGGCCCCATGCATCGTACTAAGTAGCCTACCGTCTATGCGAGTAACCGTAAAACAAAGTCCGCAACAGGATTTAAAAAAAAATTGATGAAATGTAATTTGCTTGGGGATTAGTCATTTTACTCGTATATTAAACTTTGTGAGTCCGGCCTAGGAGCTGCTGGGTGAAAACTCTGTACACAAACATTTCTAGCTGCATAATAAACAACGGCTTCG